GTTTTGAGATTGATGAGGGCAACAGGTGTACATATGTGCTTGACTCAATGGATGTATGTATGGACTGTGATAAGAATTGTCAATAAAATAATTTTTAAAAAAGAATAATGAGGGTAACAAATGTACAAATGTGCTTTATACAATTGGTGTTTGTATGGATTGTGATGAGTTGTATGAGCCCCCAATAAAATGACTTAAAAAATTAAAAGATAATTATGTGCATAGCAAACCAACAAGTCCTTTCCATCTACTTATGTAGATGGGGACTAAATCAATCAATTCTTACAAGCTACTTGGTTGGTTTGCTTTTTTGTCAAGAGTCCTGGGCCAGTTCTGACTCATAAAAACACTATATACAATAGAACTTAACACTCCTCTGTCTTGCACCATCCCCACAACAGTTGTTATTTTTTATCCCATTGTAGACCCTGTGTCAATTCATCTCCTTGACAGTCTTCCTCTTTTTCACTAACTTTACCAAGCATGATGTCCTTTTCCAAGGACTGGTCTCTCCTCATAATATGTCCAAAGTACATGAGATGCAGTCTTTCTAAGGAAGAACAAATAAGTTTATTTTGGAAGATGTGCAATCAGAATTTGGCCATTATGAGGTCCAGATATTCTCTAAAGACAAATATTCACCATCTGTAAGGAAGTTTGTTTGTTTTTTGTAAGGAAGTTTTATCTTTCCCTAAACCGTAAAACATAATAAAACTCAAACCCAGATCACAGTCAATGAGTCACTTCCAAGTCATCATAAATCTATGTAGGATTTTCAAAGCTATAAGTCTGTACAGGAGCAGAGAGCTTCCTCTTTCTTCCACAGAGCAGCTGGTGGGTTTAGCAGTCCAATACTAACCTGATAGTGCCACTAAGGGCAACAAGGTAGTCTAAAACCTCATGTCCCTTACATCTGCCTTGGGATGGTAAACCAAAGCACCTTTAAGACCTTCCTGTCATTGAGTTCATCAGACTATCTATAAAGGGCTATTGGTTAACTTTTCAACTGCATTTCATATATGTTTACTTTCAATTATTTAGGTTAATGACCAAGAGGCAATCCTTTGAACAGAACAGAGAACTCTGTGTGGTTTTAAAAAAGGAAAGGTTTGCATAAAAGTCGAACCCCTTCAATCCGTGTGCTGAGCACAGAACTTGAAAAGTTGGACTGTGTGAGGAGAATGCAGCATCAGGATTGGAGGAAGGCTTATTAAGAACTTTCAATATGCAGATGGCACAACCATGCTTACTGAATGCTAGGAGTACTTCGAGCAATTGCTAGAGGGTATGAACTACAATTCAATGTAAATAAACCCAAGTCCTCACAAGTGTATCTGTAGCTAACATCATGATCAAGAGAAAGTTTCAATTGTCGAAGATTTCATTTTACTTATATCCACAATCAACACTCATAGAAGCACAAGTTAAAAAATCAAATGAAATATTGCATTGGGAAAATCTGCTGAACAAGACCTTTCTGATGTATTGAAGAACAAGGATGTCACTTTGAGCAGTAAGATGCCCCTGACCCAAACTATGATATTTTCTATCGCCTCATATGTATGTAAAAGTTCGACAATGAATATGGAAGAACGAAAGAGAATTGATGCATTTGAATAGGAATGTTGATGAAGAATATTGAAAGTATCTCAGAGTTCCTAAAGAACAAATGAATCTGTCAAACATATAGTCAAAATGTTTCTCACAAGGGAGGGTGGCTAGACTTCATCTCATTAACTCTGGACATGTTATCAGGAGAGATTATTCCCTAGAAATGGGGTCATTCTTGGTATAGTGGAGGGTCAGGGAAGAAGAAGATGAAATAAAGTGACATGGACTGACACAGTGGCTGCAACAATGAGCTCAAGCATACCAGTGAGTGAGAAGATGGTGCAGAACCAGGTAATGTGTATTTCTGTGGTACATTGGGTACATAAATCAATGTACCTAACAACAACAACAACAACAAATGATCTATAACTCCAGATATTCTTATTTCACAGAAGAAATTCAGTCAATACATTCACAAAGAATAAAAGAAAAGCACTTTAGAGAATCACCATTTTGCACTGATCATTCACAGTTATTTAACCCATTATGATATCATTCTTGAAACTTTTACAATTAAAAGAGGGGTACTGCCACCTCAATCAATGGAGCAATGACACGGGTGCCAAGTCCATTTATATGCTTTCTGACTTAAATAATGTAAAGTTGACAGCAGTCTATCAAATCATTCACAGCAAAAAGATAAAGTCCAATTTTATCAAGTAGTTACATATAAATTTTAATTTATTGGAAATACTGGAGAAAGAGAAAAAGGAAATGATAAGATGACAAAGCAAACAGATAAAATCAGAATATTGTAAGACTTTAAGAAAACTGCTTCTTCAACAAATTCTAGACCATAAGATAAGAACTTAAAAATCAGTTGTGATGATTATAAGATAGTTCTAGAGTAAATGAGATCTCAAGATACAAGTGAAAAGATTGGAGTTTATTTGAATTCCAATATACATAAATTAGTTTTAGTAAAGTTGTAAAAATAAATACTCGGTAAATTAGAAGGGCAGAGAAAAAGAAGGCGGCTCTTAATGAGAAGAATTGATACACCTGCAACAAGTTCAAATTTAACAATTGTGAGAATGGCTCAGACATAGGGTCGCTATGATTTGGAACCAATTTGATATCATGTAACAACAACAAATTGTCAAGAGACCTTTTTCTAAATAACTGGGGAAGGCCTATATAAATTGGGACTTAACTGATACAAATGGCTAAGAGCTTTGCTACTAATAAAAATTCTCCCAGAGGAAAACCAGCCCGGCTGTCGCAAACCCTACTTTGGTACATGAGATGTCTGTGAGCGGAAATCAACTGGACAGAAACCTTTCTTTTTTTCTTTGTAATGTAGCTTGAATTTTACATGAAAATGAGTAATTATTTTGAATTCTATTAATTATGTTAATGATATTGTATATATGTAAAACAAGTTTACGTTGTAGGACTAGCACACCATTTGTCAGTGAAATTATATGATGACAGATTTGCTTTCAAACAAGTGAAAAGTAACAAAAAGAAAGACAATATTTTTAAGGGAAAGAAAAAAAAAGGTAGTATTGTATCCAAAAGTTAATAATTCTTGAATCTGATTGGCTGGTATGTGGGATTTTGTGCTGCTTCAAACTTGAACAACAAAAAGTCTTAAAGTTAAGAGGCACTCTTTAGAGAACTGGCTTTAATCAATCATAGCTGAATCACCAGATATGTGGACAGATGTGGTGAATGAAGAAAAAGTTCCCAATTTTCCTAAAAATAGAAAGGGTAGTCAATTCATGACATTCCATAAATAATATTTCAAGGAATTTGGACTTTATTCCCAGGCCAGCATTTCTTAAATTATATTGAGAAATATTAATGTAGCTTTCTCCACTCTAAAGCCAACCGGGGAGAGTGGAGGCTAGAAGTGCCATTTTTAATTAGTTTAATTCTATATTCTTTCTACTTGGTTGAATGTTAATAACATTTATTAACACAGTGCTATTAAGATGTAGCATATTATTTTCCCAACTTAAAAAAAGTTGTAAGAAGCACATCTTGAAACAAAAATTATAAGAAATACCAAACAACCTAAACAATTGTGGTAAGTTGATGTGGCCCATACTTTAAGGTTATTTTCACGGTCATGAATTGGACACAGTTGAAATAGACCAGGTGTGAGGTAAGAGGAAGTAAATGAATAGGATGTACTATGGGATACAGATGGAAAAAGACAGTGAGCATAAATGGAAACTTAGGCAGAAGTGCAACCGAATCGATCGACAACAAGGCTAAAGTTTCTAACCTAGGTGAGTTGGGCATTGGGTATTGTTATTGTTAGAATAAGGTATTTAGCGGAGGGAGGGGAAGAACAAACTTGGGGCTGATGCACAAAGTCTATGATCAAAGAATGTATTTCTTAAGAGTCTTGGGGTACAGTTGGGCTGCAAACAGTAATGTCAATATGCTGAAGCCACCAGCAGCTCCAAAGGAAAACTGTAACCCTGTCTGCTCCTATAAACATTTATTATCTCAAAAGACCTAAGGAGTGGTTCGACCTGGTGCTACAGTGTCCTAGAGTCACTCTGAGTCCGAATGTCAGTGAGTTTGAAAAGTGTTTTTGTATTGTTGTGTTGTGTCACATTTTATTATGTGAAACTCAGATACCTCACAAACAGTATAATAAGTAATTATTAGAAAATGAATGAAATTTTAAATATTTAACTCTTTCCCTCTAAACTAGCATAATCAAGCCATCCTCTGCTTCTACTTACCCACAAGGCCTATATGTGAAAACAATGTAACTCTCTTCATCACTTCTTTCAATGAAAGTCACACAGGTGTGCTTTTCCCAATGCCTCATGGCCTGCTTGAACATGGCTCTCTGGTTGCCTGGAAAAATTGTTAGATGTTACTAAAACAGGATCTACCCTAGAGAGAAGAGCTTCATGCTGACTTCTCTACTTTAAGGCTGATCAGGAGGTTTAGTATGCCATCACTATTATCAAAACAAAGAATGTTAGCCCTTATAACCACAAATGATTTACTTCTTTTTAAAGATAGTGTATTCACCTCCCCATCAGAAGGGTAGTGTTCACTACCTCTAAAAGCATTATAGGTGTATACAGTTCTATACACAGGACCTACATTCTTTCTGTCAGTTGAAAAGAGATCAGCTTCCAGATTGAATGAAAACATTTGAAACATGGTTTAAAAACCAGAACATAAGTGTAATCTTGGAATATGAAACTAAATTTACTTTTTAATCTCAATGATATTCTGAGATAATGACCTAAATTAATGTGGTATGTTCTAGTTTGATTTAGTAACATGGTTTATATTAATAGTCTATACAAATATGCAGTGCTTTGTATAAAATCGATCATTTCTTTAACAAGATAGACACTCTGGGAATCTTACCAGTGAAGTTGCCTCCAATCACATAAGGAATAACACCTCCAGGCCAGATTCTTTCAGTTCTTGATGTAGCTGCCCTGGGAACTCGATTTCTCTCATTTTCCCCTGAGAATTTTAGAGGTACTTTCCCCTTAACTGTACTGTTTTGCTCCAAACCTACAGGGACATTTAAAACACTCTGTGAAACTGAGATCATTAGTCAGGGGGACATTTATCTCTTAAAGGGTAGAAATTGAAATACCTTATTTACATGTTGGTACACCTATGCCTGCAGCCAAAATATATTAATAAAAAGCTTCACTGATATTACATACTTGGAAAAAGAATTGAAACATGTATTTTACTTCAAAATATTTTTTTTCTTTATGCTCTAGAACAAATTGTGATGATTTTTTTAGACCACAGGAAAATTATTTTATATTATCTAATTTATTGTCTAGTTTATTGAATCACTACCAGTTCATCACAAGATGATGAAATTTATTTTATTTGTTTTAAGTTACTTTAGAGTCAACTCCAACTCATGCCAAGCCTATGTATTTAATAAAGTCACATAATATGCAAAGTTTTTCATATTCTGGCTAAATTACTAAATTTTTCAATTAGGACTGATATTTCTATAGTACAGCCTGAATGTAAGTATGTTGCACTGCATAGACATTCAAATAAATTACATGAAATAGATAGGTTGTTGTCATCTGGAATAATGGATTGTGTCCATTTTAATTTCTTCGAGATTCACAGCATGATTTACAGAAGAGCATACAGTTTGAAGATGCCAACGTGAAATGTAGTCTATTTCTGAACACTTTTCCAGTTATGACTGGTTTGCTTTCCCAGGTGGCCTATCATGCCCTGACAGGACAGGGCAGAACTGTCCCTGTGGGTTTCTGAGAAAGTAACTCTTATGGGAGTAGTACGCTTTGTCTTTCTCTCAAGGAGAGGCTGATGATTTCAAGCTGTTGAGCTGGCAGTTAGCAGCCCAACTAAGCAGGGCTGCAGAACAGACTACAACAGGGAGTTCGCTTTTGGAAGTGGTGCGCTGAAAGGCAGGCCTGCCAATTCTCCTATGCACACATGGCAACAACCTAGAGTTAGAATCAACTCGATTACTACTACTAATAGTAGTCTATGATCTACTCTTCATCTACACAACAAATATCAAGGGTATGTCCCTCTGCCTACGTCCCTAACATGCCAATGGTTTTCATCTCATGAACCGAAGCATCTTTGTTCAGGTAATGTATTCCTTACAGACAATCTAAACACCATTATGTATTTAATTAATAATCCACCAATTCAAATGTTATTAAAATCTGAGCTTTGAACATAGGATTTTGAAACCAGCCACCCTAAAACCTACAATTAGTGGCTAATGAACTCAATAAAATAAAATAATTAATTACAAGCCCATTATACAGGTTCTCTGGATGTTTTTCCTTAAATATTTTTGTGGTCAAATAAGTTTTCAACTATTTTTTTATGATCTATTAAGCAGTTTGTCAATTTATTTCAAGCTGGTTTTATTAGAAAACTAAGAGCCATGACATTTTTTCATTTAATTTAAATTGATGTAGCTATATGTTTGATGAAAATAATTTACTAAGATAACAAATTAATTGGAAATAGATAAAATGACTAATAAAATTTTGAACAAGGAGAGTCTTAAAATAAGTTAGAAGAACTTTAACTTTTTTCAACTTAAATTCTAAATATTCTTACATGAAATATGAGTCAATAAAAGAAAAACAAATGAAAGACCTTTCATATGATATACCCTTTCATATTTCAAATTATAAATTCATACTAATTCAATATACTGAACTTCTATGAGTATAATATTTACTGTACATCAAGTCAAGCGTCTGCAACTTTAAACATTCATATACCAGAGCCAATTCTTCTTATCCTGTCTATAAGCTGGTAGAGGGCCCCTCGTTTCTTTGACATACCATGGTCTCCAAGTCCACCTTAAAGAACAAAATAAAATAAATAAAATTTCCTACATTTCAAATTTTTAATAAATGAACTATAAAAGCAGACTATCCTGACTCCTCTTTGAAATGTATTATACATTTTATGAGATGTTAGAGTGTGATAAAAATGTCCACATAACAATTTTTGGTAACTAAAAAGTAATACTAATAATATTAACATAAAGGGGGCAGTAAGAGGAGAGAGATCCAGAGAACAACCTAAGCATGCTTTATTTGGTCATGATAACAATTGAAAAGCCTATTGACCACAGGAAGGACTCCTTCTTCACTGTGGCTTTGACATCTCAAAACTCAATTGCTATTTGTGGGTTTCAGAAACTGTAAATTTTTGTGAATAGGAAGCTTCATCTTCGTCCAAGGAAGGGCTAGTGGTTTTGAACTTAAGGCCTTATGGCTAGCTGCCCCACTTAACCCACTGTGCCACCTGTGCTTCTTGACTTCAACATCACTTAGTGTTATATTGGATGGTGACAGTTAGTTGTTCTGCCCTATGAATTGCCTTCTATTTACTAAATGTAGACAGAATACATTTATTCTAAATACTAAATGTAGACAGAATACATGAATTCTGACATGTATTCAAATCAACAAAATAAAATAAAAACATGAGAAAAACAAATGTATAGTGTATATTTTGATTAATTTGAAATATTTTAAAAGTATAGAAAATTATATAACATATCAAATATATTTTGAAAATTATTTTCTATAATTCATAAAAACCAATAATATGTAATTAGAAGACTATCATCTTATCATCTCACATTAAAGACTAGAAAATGTAGGCTCCTAACATAGGACAGAAAGTAAATGCCTTGGCTAATATCAAGGGCTCTGATTCTTCTAACACTAAAGATTTCAATAAAATGCTGCCTCTATTTTTCTCCCATTTTCTTTCCTTCTCCTATTGGAATTTTATAGATAAACAATAAAGAGATGCCCTTGAGCAAACAACCAATATAATTTCTAATGGCACTGGAACATTATAGATGAGTTTGTGCCAAAAATAGTGTCTCTGATTCATAAATATCTTGGAACTCAAATAATGAAAGAAGGCCAGAAATTCTATGGAAACCATGAAATGTTCTGAGATTTTAAACTATTTTCTTCTAAACCTCCTCCTTTATATAATAATTATTAAAATTTAATCATTTAGAATAGAGTGAATAAAAAAGAGGCAATAAGAAAAATGATAGCTATATAAGCCCAGAAAAAAATCAAATAATCCTTATAAGGCACATACATTAGAGTGCTTTTACACTGACTAATAACCGAAGCCATTTAATGGTCTCATTTTTACCAAGCCCCTTGTGAAAAAATTTTTGAAAATTTTTCTTGAACATTTTAGAAAAATGAGGTAATACTTCAATGCTTTCATTCCCAAGTACTTACAAGATGTACTTTTAAAGTATGGCATCTCTGTATGTGTAAAAATATTGCTTATAATGGCTCTGATGGGACAATTATGCTTTATATTAGACAGAACTGAAATGCATACTGACAGATTTATAAGGAGGCCTTTTTTACATTCTTTATGAGAAAAAGAAATATATTTAAAGTTAAGATTTTCTTAAAGGAACCAGTAGCATTGAAGAAAATTTCAAAACGATCATGGATGGAAATGTATTTTTAATATATTTTTAGTAAATTTGAGTTTTATTATAGCATTTAAAATAAAAATTTCTGTAGACAATTTCTTAAAATGGAACAAAAGGAAATTTCATGAAATGAGTAATTATTTAGCGCATATATTTAATTTAAAAATATATATGATGAATTGATAAAAATTTATGGGAAAGCTTATTGAGTTTAAAACAAGGATATGAGAAATATAACTGAGTAAGTCAGCATTAAAAACTAACAGGAAGGAGAAATATATATGTGTGTGTGTATATATATTTAATATATAAGTATATATTTATATATACTCACATAATATATATACACACATACACACACATGTGTATCGTATGAGGGGGTACCCCCCCAAAAAAAAACCAGAAAAGAGCTCCACTGGGCAGAGCTTTCTTAGTACACATTTTTCCCACTCTGGAGCAACTCACTCTGAGTTACTGCACCCAGTGGCGTGGCCTGGGAAGGTTCTCTCTGGTCACAGTGAATTTTTTCATAAAAGCAGTTTGACTCAAACTTCGTTTTTGTGACTGCCGATTTAAGAGAATAGCTTGCAGCTATGAACTTTTGCTTCCTGGTTGGGAAAATGCTGCAAAAACAGTTGTGAAGTTGAACACAACTTACAAGGACAGCACTACGGGAAAAACTCAAGTGTATGGGTGATTTTCTCATTTCAAAAAAGGTGAAATGTTGACTGATGACAAACGTCGTCTGGACGTTCGTCAACTTCCAAAACGGATGAAAATGTTGACTTGTAGCGCATTTGGAGTTCGTTCCACTAGGTCAGACTTTTAATCAAGCTTTCTATTTAGAGGTTCAGAAAAGATTGCCGTAATAGTGTGCAACAAAAAAGGCCTGATTTTTGGCAGATGGGGGACTGGTTTTGCCACCACAACAGTGCATCTGTTCACACAGCCATCTCAGTGAACCAGTTTTGGGCAAAAAACAGCATGCCTCTCTTGCCCTACACATCTGACCATGTGGCTTCTTTTTGTTTCAGTGAACGAAGAGGGACATGAAATAACAGTGATTTGACAATGTAGAAGAGGTGAAGACAAAAATGAGGGAGGTGCTGTCAGATATCCAAGCAGATGACTTTGAAAAATGTTTCCAAGAATGTAAATGTTTGATAAATGTATTAAGTGTAATGGAGAATACTTTGAAGATGATAAAGTTGTTTTGTAAAAAAAAAAAAATTAAATACATAGCTTTGGGGAAAAAATTCCATATTTTGGTATGACTTCATATGTATACGTGAATATATATGTATATATGATACTGGTGTACTTTTAAAATTCAACTGAGTACTGCTATTATTAAACTTTCCAATAAGTGTGCATTTTTCATATGTCCTATAAATAGTTTTATGACTGAAAATTTATATTATTTTGTATCTATAAAAAATAGTATTTTCTTCCAGTTATTTATATGTTAAAATTTAACAATAAATAAAAGGACAAAATAAAATAAATGTATTGAAAGTTTTTAAGTCATAGACTGCGTGTGGCACTAAAGTAAGTGGGTGGGTGTAGGTTAGGAAATTATCTAGAGTTAGAAGCTAATAAATAATTTATAATAAAAAATGAAAATGCGCTCTTTGAAAAATGTACGATTTTGCTGAGCTGTGTCATTGCACTACCGTCCAGAATATATTGCTTTAATGGCAGTGCTCAACATAAGATAGAAATTGCAGAATCAGCTAATAAACACACTCTACAGGAATGCATTGTTTCATGATGACACTGGTTTTTGTTGTTTTCCCCTTTCTATTTTAGTGTGTGATTCTTGAAAGACACTAGGCATAACAAGGTACAAATCATATTATTTTTAAAATAGTGTGTTATTATTTTTCTTTTCTCATGTATAACCTTTTATATACTTTTTTAAACTTTACATAATTTTCCAAGCTATAGTGACATTTTCATGTAGAAAAATGCCCTAATTCATAGAAAGGTCATGCTAGGCTACTTAAAGTGTTTTACCAACACATATATGCATATATGCACACACACAGGGAATATGGGAACTATTGACAATTACCGAATAACACTAAATTTGGTATTCCTTGAACTGTCCTCTCAATTTTTCTACATTTAAAGTTTATCATAATATAGAGTTGTGGGTAAAATAAATTGAGCAAAGGGGGGAATTAGTTCACAATGAGAACTCTCAAGTCTGCTGAATACCAAGCAGTCATAAAAATAAGCTTGTCAAGGGAGAAGTTGAAGCAGTGAGTTCTAAAAGCTAGACATCATGTGTATAGTTTTCTAGCTTATCTAGAAAAAGAAATATTCAACTGGCAATTTTTATTCAAAATAAAATAGAATAAAAAACCTTAACAATGTAATGTATTTTAAAATGAGAAAACAGTAATTTTTAAAACATTTAAGTCTCTTTTGGTATAATTCAGTCCTGTTCAAAAAAGCTAAAATTTAAACCAGCTTCCAGATTTTCCATAAAAATTAGCAGTTTAAGATGTAAGATATATCTTTACATATCAAAAATATACAAGATATATATACATAATATATACTTTCTAGATAAATTTGTATGTAAGTGTTCCAAGCATATATTTTACAGCTCAATATTTCATGGGACAACCGAATATAATACTCAAGAGCATGAAGTTTTCATTTTCTCAGAATTGATTCTGGTCCTGACTCGATCACTTCTTTCGGTGTGACCATAGCTGCTTAACGTTATTTATAAATCACTACACTATTGGTACCTGCCATAGCTATTTAAACAGGGTATGATACATAATACAGTGTATAATATGCTTATTAATTCAATTAGTTAAATACATGAAAACTGCCTACAAGGTTGAAATCTCTAAATATGCCAATTTGTGCCCAAGAAGTAGAATTTGATCAGGTAGATATTAAAATTGAATATTTATAGATTTTTAGAAAGTATATTTATTTCAAAATTAAAATTTAACCAAATAATCAAACATACCTGTGGTATGTCCAAGTTTTCCAAAGGGGTTCTGTGTGAGGTCAATTGTTCTATCAATTTGAAAGATATTTAATTCTTCATCATCTAAGGCAATATCTCCCCAAAACACAGCTAAAAAACAAAAGTTTTATTAAAATGTAAACTATTTAAAATATATAGAAGCATTGTTTAAGATATGGAAATGTGGTTGATATAGAGCTAGGTATTTCAGATCACACATGACTATAATCGGCTTTATTGGCTCTATGGGTGTAGTAGTTCTGCATTTCACTACCATCTGCAGCATCAGCAGTTCAAAACCACTAGCTTCTCCTCAGGAGAAAGATGAAGCTTCTAGTTTCATGAAGTCTTACAGCATCAAAAACCTAAAGGGGCACTTGTACTCCATCCTACATGGTCAACATGATTTGGAATCGACTGGATGGCAGTGAATTTGAGTGTTTTTGTTTTTGTTTGGGGGAGAAAAAGTAAAGATGAGCTAAAATAGAGATAAGTAATATATATCTCGAAATGCCTGCATGTTTATGACACACAGATCTTTCCTAATAGAGTAGATAGAAGGTGATAACAGTTAACCCTCGAACTTTGTAAAAGCAAGGGCTAATTAAGACAGGGCAATATGTAATGCATTCAGCCACATTTCCACATTCATATTTTACATAAAGACACTTCCCTAAAGATGACATTGCCAGTGAGTGTCTATAAAATATATGCATAACTACCTAAAGATTTGAATCAACATTTATTTAGGTGACTATTAGGCACCAAGTCTTTGACCTTAATAACAACATATAACACATAATGTAAGTCCCTCAAAATCATTATCTTAGAATCTAAAACTCCCTGAGTTTAGGTCAATAGTAAGTCTATTTCTTATACAAATTAACAATGCAAAGCTGTGTAAACTTTGGCATAATGGGAGAGTTCATTTAACACTAATACTGAATTTTTCACATAAAATCGATTATGATGAGACTTGTGTCCCCAAACAAGAAGCTTCAGTCTTAAAAGCTGTATCTGTGAATGGGATCCTATTTGGAAATCTGGTTTTCCATTTCTAGTGTTATTTAATCTCCTCTTGCGGTATTTCATAAAGACGCAAAACTCACTGCCATCGAGTCAATGCCATTGGTTAGTGACCTAACGGGACAGGATTGAAAAGTCTCTGTGAGTTTCCAAGACTGTAGCTCCTTCTTGTTGTTATTGCTATTACATGTCATTGAGTCAGTTCTGACCCACAGGGATCTTCATGCATGACAGAAGGAAACACTGGCTCTTCCTGAGCCATGCCATCCTCACAATTATTCTATGCAGATCCCACTGTAATTTTTTAAGGGAGTAGAACGCTCCATTGTTCCTCTGCTGAGCAGTTTATAGTCAATCAAATGCTGACCTTGAGCAGTTAGCAGCCTAAGGCGTAAACTGCAACTGGGTAAATCAATGACAGACTGGCACACCTGGTGAAGACACCCAGTAACAATGGAGGCAGATGCATCTAAACAAACCTAAGAACACTAAAGATTCCTGGCAGCCACTAGAAGCTGAAGGAGAAAAAGAATCTTCCAATAGAGCTAATGAGATGGTGCTCTGAGTTCTAACTTTAAACCTTCTGAACTATGAGAAAATGCATGCCTTTCAAACTATCGTCTTTTGCTTGGTTGAAATTTATATTAATAAATTAACTTTAGAATCATTTTTATAAAATATTATACCTATAAAGTTTATACATCAATCATCAAATCAACACAGAATTTAAGCTTTAGCTACAAATTTATTATATAAAGTTATTTATCTACTTTCCATTTCTAGTACAAAACTCACAGGAGATACAACAAAAATACAAGAAGTTTAACAGGGTTAAACTTTGACAGAAAGCCAGAAATAGGAAAAAAAAGAAGAATGAAATTAGTTCAAAGTTATTATCAGCCCAACCTGTATTTTAAAAAATTGTATTAGAATTGGAATTTTCTATTAAACACAACCCTGGACTCTATTGCCTATGGAATTGATAGACGTGAAAGACAGTAAACATCACTTTACTTTTAGAGATTCTTTATTGTTTACAGAAACAAAGTAATGAAGGGCTGTACAACAGTTATCAGTGTTACACTGTTGTTGGGTGACACTAGGTTGATTTCGACTGGCAGTCATGAGGTTTAGGCGGAAACTGTTAAGGGAGCAGATGGTCAGGGTTTTTTCCCTACACATTGAGCTGCTAACCACAAGGTCAGCAGAACCCCCCAGCTGCTGCACAGGAGACAGATGAGGCTTTCTACTCCAGTAAAGATTTACAGTCTCAGTCCTACCCTGTCCTATATGGTCTCTACAAGTCAGCATTGATGCCATGGTAGTGAGTTTTTTTAGTACCATACAGCAGTAAGAGACTGGGCTTATAGCCTAAAAGTAAATCAAAATTTCAATAGGCTCAAACCCATGCATCAAATATCACTGATGTTCCACTATCCCCTAAAGCCAGACATCCCGAAAAGGAGAGGGCTTGTCTGAAATAAAATATTTTGTATATCAGTTTTTTAGAGAGAAACTGTTTCATAAATTTTATTTATAAGACTTAAGCTACTTTAAAAAACCAAGTATGCTAGTTATTTAAAACGTCCAACATGTGTATGTAACATGAAAACAACCCTCATAGACACTGATGCCCTGCTGTTGAAAATGCAAACCATGAAAGAACATTTCTCACCCTTTAATTTGTGTAGGAATCACAGAAGATCTAGTTAAGATGTGGACTCTCATTCAGTATATCTGGAGAAAAGCCTCAAATCCTTCATATCTGAAACCTCCTAACCAGCCACCCCACCACCACCACCACCAGATTACCTACCCTCTTTGTTAGTATTTTTCCCCCTGCCAGGGGAATGTTTACTCCTTTTAGAATAAACTGGTTCATTTTACAACTAAAACATACAACTATACAATGCACTACCTCTTACATAATTAAAATAATAGGGGTAAAATGACACACAAATGTGTTTTAGATTTTTATTTTTCTGTAATGACTTTTGACATGAAGCAGGAATCCTGCCCTGATGGATTATATCTAATACAGATCAGCACTCCAAAGTTATATATCACTCATAGAAGAAAAAACATTACCTCTGGGGAGAAAAAAAATGCATGAGATGACGACACTGAAAGGGAGATACAACTCGAGCACATAGAGAGTTGCTTTATGTATCAGTATTTTTTCTAAATGAGTAACTTAACAGCTCTCAATTTGCAATAATTTGCTTCAGGAGAAAACTAATTTTTTCTCTGAACGTAAGCAATCATGAGTGCATAAATCAATGCATTCATGTGCAGATTTGTTGCAATGTAGGTCACATATAGTTTTAACTTAAGATGTTACCAACAGAATTTTTAAATAGGTAATTTATTTTAATTTTTATCCTATCACATAAGATGCATGATTTCTCTCTATATCTTAGATCTATCGACATTTCTTGAATTCATATTCTACTTGACTCTCTATGCTAATTCTGCATCATAACATATTTTACTCATGTGTGGGTATAAGAAACTGGGCCACAACGATTTATATTAATGTGAATTTGTAACTTGCATTATAATCTAACAGATGTTCAATTAGTTTTGAAAGTATATTTGCAACTCTCAAATCAACTTCGGATTTTATTTTCTTTTATCCAGTATTTTAAGTAAAACATGTTTTAAAGGTTTAAAAAGCAAGCATGTTTACTTATTTGTCCCATTTAACATAATGATTTAAGTTAGTAAGATTAGAAATAAGAGCAATGTGGTGGGCTGATGATAACTCAGAGACAATGATAATATTTACTACTTATTTGGATTCTTAGAGTCAAAATGGAGGTTGTAGTTAGCCAACAGGCCAAAGTAAAAGATTACAAAGGACAAATTTAAATCTACATCTAGAACCACATTTAAAATTTTTTCCCTTATAAAGCTTATTTGCCTTCAGCATGTAATAAATGTTTGTTTGTTTTTATTTAAAGAGAATGACCAATACTGTTTTTATTGCAATAGTTTGGGTAAATAAATGATTTTACAAATTATGATGACAATGAGCGATCTAAGATTATAATTTCCCTTCTATCCTAGTGTTAAGAGATGTCTCTCCTACCCAATCGCCTAATATTCTTTAGCTCTTGAGATGTGAAGTTTCAGGGAGTAGCTTTATCACAGAATCAAATTTCAGGTCCCCTGAAAATTGTATGTAAAATTATGCAAGACAATTTTTTGGGTGGGGGGGAGAGGTTCACAGTCCTTTTTAAAAAGTAATCCCAAAGAGTAAAACCTACAACTCATTCCATGGATAAAACCTATCAATCCACCCAGGAGAAAACACTTTGAGTCTCTATCGTCGGACATGAATGTATTTACTGAATTACCAACAAGATGGCCCACAATATGTCGTGACTTGAGAGTACAAGGTAACAAAGGAGAAGACAGAGTTTCCTCAGGCGTTACCTGAGGGCACGTTCTCAGACACTGCTCCTCCCAGCAAACATAGTTAGGCCTGTCATCTGTCCTATTGGCCTAGTCCGATGCTTCTGTCAACAGTAGGACAACAAGCAAGATTTCTCTGGTCTGATTTTGAAAATGTTAACAAAAACATATGTTGCTTATCAAAATACTCAAGGTTGGAGTATTTGACAAAGTTTTTCAGTAAATGTCTTGAAGCATAAAAAGTAGATATATGAAGGAGAATATGTCATGAAATGGTAGGTGAGGTTAGGTATACTATGTACATCATAAATTGGCCTTAATATGCAAAATACATGCTATTTGATCATGTATATATATATATATCCTAAACCAAACTCACTGCCATAGAATTTCTAATTCGGAGCAACCCTACAGGACAGGGAAGAAGGGCCCCTGTGGGCTTTCCAGACTAACTCTTTACAGCAGAGCAACTGCTGATTTCACACTGCAGACCTTGTGGTTAGCAGCTCAAAGTGTAACCACTACATATGAGTAGCCCTGGTGGCCTAACGGTTATGTATTGAGCTGCTAAGCACTATGGCCCCAGGGCTCCTCATACGTATACAAAAAACAAACTCCCTGCTTCGGGATTGAAGCCGATGCATAGTGACTCTAGAGGGCAACGTAAA